GCCACAGGCACCACCCAGAATATAGATATATCTTTTGTTTTGTTTCTTTTGAGACAGAGTCTCAGTATGTCACCCTTGGTAGAGTGCTGTGGCATCACAGCTCACAGCAACCTCAAACTCCTGGGCTTAAGTGATTTTCTTGCCTCAGCCTCCCAGTAGCTGGGACTATAGGTGCCTGCCACAATGCCTGGCTATTTTTTTGTTGCAGTTGGCCCTGGCTGGTTTCAAACCCACCAGCCTCGGTGTATGTGGCTGACCCTGTAACCACTGTGCTACGGGTGCTGAGCCAAGAATATGTATATCTTCATCAAACTTTCCTTCTAACCCCAAGCCCAAAGAGCCCCATTATTCACATTCTGCCTGCCCTATTATTATCCTCTGCTGTTTACTCCCAAGTTTCCCTAAGCCAGTGATTTATGGGTTTGTTTTGTTTTGTTTTTAGCTATCCAGATTTTTCTTCAAACAAAATTCTATAAGAAATCCCAACATATAAAACACATAAAAGTACCACTGCCTTAATTAAAGAGGTACTACCACTCATGAAGCAGCTCTCAGGAAAATGACTAGGGTTGCTTGGTCAACAGTTTGAAAGATGCTAATCTAATCTCTCCTTCTTATATTACAGTTGAGAAACTAAGGTCAGGCTTACAAGGTATCGAGTACTCGTAGAAATTAATGGAAGAAGAATAAGAAAGGTAGAGGGCTTCTTCTTCCTAGGTAACATATGAGGTCAGGCAATTAAGTTCACAAACTCATCCTAAAAAAAGTGCTACATACCTCATTGCTGCCTATCACTTTAAAGGGTCACCTTTAAAGTACTCCCATTGTCTACCTGATGACCATAGTGATACTCAGCAATGAGGTATGCAGCACTTTTTCTAGAATGAGTTTGGGAACTTAATTGACCAACCTTGTATGCGCGTTTCTTTAAACCTCATGAGTAGAGGATCCCTATGTTGCTTTGTTTTATTTTGTTTTGTCTCTTTCATCCTCTAGCTGTAGTATCCATCCCTCCCAACAAAGCTCCCACTCTAATGGGTTTGATATACATCCTTGACTATATAGCTTTGAATACATGTTTCAGTGTTTGCTATAATTTTTTTAGTTCAACAAATACTTATTGAACACTTACTATGCCAGATACTGGACACACAATGTTGAACAAAATAGACAAAGTTCTTCTTCTCTCAAGGAGCTTACTGTTAAGATATTAAGCAGTGCAGAAGCAGTAATGCAGAGGCAGCTACTACGTGAGCTTGCAGACTTTCATGGATTCATCAGATAAGGAAACATTGACCCCCAAATGATAGAGTTTGTTACTTACACAGACAGCAACAGCAGGATCCGTATGGTGTCAGATCACTGTATTTCTTTACCCACAGGAAGATATTGAACCAAATGGGCCAGATGACAGGCTCTACAAGCAGTGGGGTGCTCTGTTGATGAAGAACCAACTCTAGACTGCAGCTAGCTGTTTTATAGTTTGCATCTGTTCCCAAGGGGAGGGAGGTGGAGAGTCCTGTGCCTTACCGGAATCAGGGAGTAGGATGTGAAACTGCTTCATGGCAGCCTCCTTCAAGGTAGAAAAGATAAGAAACAGTATTGAGGCAGCTACAAGACTACTTATCTCCCATGTCCGGGGAGGATCACAGAATGTTCTGCCAAGACCAAGATCTCACTGTAGTTTAAGTTTGCCTACGTGGCCTATGTGACTACTACAAGGTCACTGGAGTGCCATAGTGGAACTATTTCCTATTTCCCTACATTTTCATTCTATAAATAAACATTTTTGTCTTTATTGTTTCACTTACTATGGCATAATAGTAATATCAATAGCAAACAATTTATATAATGCTTATTATATGCCAAACATTTATCTAAGAACTTTACAC